CCCCCAGGAACCCCCAATCATCCAGAGAACCCTCAAAACCCCCAAACCCCAGTGACCCCCCCCAGGACCATCCCAGACCCCCCAAATTCCCCCAAACTCCCCCAGGCCCCCCCCAGGATCACCCAGGACCATCCCAGACCCCCCAAATTCCCCCCAAAGCCCCCCCAGGACCATCCCAGCCCCCCCAAAGCCCCTGACCGGGTCGGGCCACCCGAAGATGGAGAAGGGGAAGAGGCCGGAGGAGAACCAGGTGTCCAGAACGTCCTCGTCTGAAACCAGTAAGGGACCAGTTACCACCAGTTAACACCAGTTACACCAGTGACACACCAGTCCCTCCCAGTGTCCCCAGTCCCACCTTGTCTCAGAGTCACCAGGCCCTCCCAGTCCCTCCCAATGCCCCCAATCCCTCTCCCAGTCTCTCCCAGTGCCCCCAATCCCTCTCCCAGTGCCCCCAGTCCCTCCCAGTGCCCCCCAATCCCTCCCAGTGCTCCCAATGCCCCTCCCAGTCCCTCCCAGTGCCCCCCAATCCCTCCCAGTGCTCCCAGTGCCCCTCCCAGTCCCTCCCAGTGCCCCCAGTCCCACCTTGTCTGAGGGTCACTTTGTCCTGGGGGACCCCAAAAGCTGCAGCAGCTTTGGCTCGAGCCTCGTCCTCCGTCCGGCCACTGACCCAGAACTGACCATCCTCGTCCTGAAACCCCCCAAAATCACCCCAGAAACACCCTGAGAACCCCCAAATCACCCCAAAAACCCCCCCAAATCACCCCCACTGACCCAGAACTGACCGTCCTTGTCCTGGGAGTCCAAAATCACCCCAAATCACCCCAAAAACACCCTGAGAACCCCAAAATCACCCCAAAATCACCCCAAAATTACCCCCACTGACCCAGAACTGCCCGTCCTTGTCCTGGCAACCCCAAAATCACCCCAAAATAACCCAAAGACCCCCAAAACCACCCCCAAAATCACCCAAAATCACCCCAAGATCACCCCAAAATCACCCAAAGTCACCCTCAAATTCACCCCCACTGACCCAGAACTGCCCATCCTCGTCCTGAAAACCCCCAAAATCACCCCAAATCACCCCAAAAACACCCTGAGACCCCCAAAACCACCCCCAAAATCACCCCCAAATCACCCCCACTGACCCAGAACTGCCCGTCCTCGTCCTGGGAACCCCAAAATCACCCCAAAATCACCCAGAGACCCCCAAAAGCACCCCCAGAATCACCCAAAATCACTCCTCCTGGACCCAGAACCGCCCGTCCTCATCCTGGGACCCCCAAAATCACCCCCCAGACCCCCCCTTGCCCCCTGACCTGCCCGGGGGGCACTTTGGGGTCGTCGATGGTGACAAAGTAGGCGGGGATCCGGTGCCCCCACCAGAGCTGCCGAGAGATGCACCAGTCCCTGGGGGGCACACGGGGGGTTGGGGGGCACTTGGGGGGCACTTGGGGGGCACCCCTGGAGGCTTGGGGGGCACCCCAAGGCTGGGGGACACGAGGGGGGGACAGGGGAGATTTGGGGTCCCCACCAGAGCTGAGGGGGGATGCACCAGTCCCTGGGGGGCACACGGGGGTTGGGGGGCTTGGAGTGGTCACGGGGGGTCCCCAGGGGGGTCCCTGCAGGGTCCCTGGGGGTACTTGGGGGTCTTGGGGGGTCCCTGTGGGTCAGGAGGTCCCTGGGGGATCCTTGGGGGTCTCTGTGGGTCCAGGGGGCTCCCTGGGGGCCAAGGGTGTCCCTGGGGGGTCACTGAGGGGTCCCTGGGGGTCAGGGGGATCTCTGTGGGTCCCTGTGGGTCAGGGGGGATCCCTGTGGGTCCAGTGGGGTCCCTGGGGGTCCCTCTGGGTCCAGGGGGGTCCCCGGGGCTCCCCCGAAGGTCCCTGTGGGTCAGGGGTGTCCCTGTGGGTCCCAGGGGGTCTCTGTGGGTCAGGGGGGTCCATGAGGGTTCCCTGTGGGTCAGGGGGTCCCTCTGGGTCCCTGTGGGTCCAGGGGTGTCCCAGGGGCTCTCCTGAGGGTTCCTGTGGGTCAGAGGGGTCCCATGGGGTCCGGGGGGTCCCTGGGGTGTCCCATGGGGTCAGGGGGGTCCATGAGGGTTCCCTGGCAGTCCAGGGGGGTCCCTCTGGGTCCCTGGGGGTCAAGGGGGTCCATGAAGGGTCCCTGTGGGTCAGGGGGGCCCCTGGGGGTCCCTGGGGGTTAGGGGGTGTCCCTGTGGGTCCCTGTGGGACAGGAGGGTCTCTGTGGATCAGGGGGTTCCTGGGAGATCCCTGGGGTCCCAGGGGGTTCCTGTGGGTCAGGGGTGTCCCTGGGGGGGTCCCTGGGGGTCCCAGGGGGTCTCTGTGGGTCAGGAGGGTCTATGAGGGTTCCCTGTGGGTCAGGGGGATCCCTGTGGATCCCCTCTGGGTCAGGGGGGGCCCTGGGAGGTCCTTGGGGGTCTCGGGGGTCCCTGTGGGATCCTGGGGTGTCCCGGGGGGTCCCGCCCCACCTGATGTTGTCCATCCAGGTGAACCAGGTTCGGGCGTGGCCGGGGGGGTGCAGCCGCAGGTCCCCCCTTCGAACGGCGGCGGCTGCGGCACCGCCCAGAGACTGGCACCGAACGAACCACTGAGGGACAGCCAAGGGCTCCAGGACGTCCTTGGAACGGCTGGGGGGACACAAATGTAACCTGGTGTCACCCAATGTCACCTGGTGTCACCTGGTGTCACCCACTGACCCCCCCCAAGGCGGCACCACCCAGGGACTGGCACCGAACGAACCACTGAGGGACTGCCAGGGGCTCCAGGACATCCTTGGAACGGCTGGGGGGACACACAGGGACACCCAGTGTCACCTATTGTCACCTGGTGTCACCTGGAGTCACCCACTGTCACCCAACATCACCCACTGTCACCCACTGACCCCCCATCACCCTCACTGGGGCACTGCCAGGGGCTCCAGGACATCCTTGGAACGGTGGCGGGGGACACAAATGGCATTTTTTGTCACCTGGTGTCACCTGGTGTCACCCACTGTCACCTCAATGCCACCAATGTCACCTGGTGTCACCCACTGACCCCCCATCGCCCATCACTGGGGCACTGCCAGGGGCTCCAGGACGTCCTTGGAGCGGCTGGGGGGGACACAAATGGCACCTATTGTCACCTGGTGTCACCTGGTGTCACCCACTGACCCCCCCATGGCGGCACCACCCAGGGACTGGCACCGAACGAACCACGGGGGCACTGCCAGGGGCTCCAGGACATCCTTGGAACGGCTGGGGGGG